TTTGCGACACGAGCACATTAAAATGTTTTCAGAGCCCAATTCTTTAACATTTGCCTTTGACAGCTTATCTCAGGGGACAGATAATCTCATTTACATCTGTTACTACAAATCAAAACTCCAGCAAATTAAATGGATCTGAAGGCTAAGATTAAAGACTTAGAATTAAAACACCTGCGAAGTGCCTGTAATGCAAATAGGTGTAAATACTGTTTTTTCTGGGGGATGGGGAAGCCCTGCGCAGGTGCTGTTCCCTTTGCCTTGGAAGCAAAGGCAGAAATACCACATCGGTGCAGCCAGATGATGTACACGGGTGTTCGGTGATGCCGGTTCCTTATCTACGGTTAGAAATGGAGAGAAAAGGAAATGAGCTTCAACATCACCGTTTACCAGCGCTGGGAGATGTCTTTACGGCCATCTGACGATGACTGAGCTTTTGGCTGACTCAAAGCGGGCACTCAGTGGGACCGGCTGGCGGAAGCCGAGGGCACTGCCGGTCCCCAGGCTCCGGTCGCAGGGATGTGCCCTGGTTCCGCCGACGCTGCTTCACCAGCTTCTTCTCCATCACCCACCTGAAGCGTAACGCAGGGCGTTATCGGAGCCTGTTTCTGCGCTTGGACCAAAAAGCCTGCGTGGCCTTGCAGCAGATGGTGCAGCAAATATTGTAGAACTCCCACACGAGTTTTGCAGGATCAGGCGTCGAGCAAGCAGATGGGAAGCGGATTGATGGGGAATTCATTTTAGAAATTTTCATTTTAGATGTTCCCTGTTCCTAGCATATGAGCTTCAAAGCCCACTGTGCGCATTTCTTCTTTCACCATTTCAACTCACTAACCCGTTAGCCTCTTGGCCGTGTTGCCGGCACCCCGGGGTGCAGCAGGGGATGGTGGTGGAGCAGGACTTTTCTTCAGGTGCTGCTTCTGAGTGGGCACCGTTACCTGAGCACCAGCTCAGCAAAGTATTAGCTGTGTTAGCAAAGCACAGCCAGCAGATAGCAGCATTGTTATATATAATATACCCTAGACTATGTCTGCTGGGGTTTCGAAGTCAGGCAGAAACCTGGGTGCATTCATCCCTGAGGCCGTGACCCCCCAACATTTCTGTGCAGCGGGCGGTGGGTGCACGGGGCCCCGAGCTCCCGCTCAGCTGGGCTGCAGCCTGTGCCGCAGAGGTGCAGCCTGCTCTGATTAAAGAGAAGTAGTGGTTCTGTAGCCTCTAAGCTAAACTGCAATGAACAAAATTTCACAGCGGGTGACAAGGCGTGCAAGGCATCTCCCCCTAAACTGAAATTTTAGCATAATACTCGAGTGAAGCTGTCCCAGCAGATCTGGGGCATGGATTGCACCAGGAGAGCTCATCTTTTCTGGGAGCCTCCAAGGCACGGCACAAGGCAAAGCATTGGTACCTTCGAAGGGCCACGAGTAGGAATTGGGCATCTTGCTGCTTGTGCAAGGCTGATCCTGCTGCTGAGGGATCTCGGGCATCGGGCAGCTCCTCCCGGCGTGAAACGAATGAGAAGAAAGAAATTAACAACCAGCAAACGGAGAAAGGAGCCACTTTCCTCTGACCTGGGACGTGCTGTTTTGCTCTGAAGGGCTTGTGATATTGCAGGGCAGGAGTTTTCTCACCTGGGAGGGTTGTGCTCTTTTTATTATGAAAGGGATGGAAGATCCACCGAGAGACATAGTTAATAAGACTTAATTAAAACTTGTTTGCTCTGATAAATTTGATTGGTTTCAGCAATGCACAGAGCAAGCCACCTTCAAATCACAGTAGCATCTTATGGCAACTGAGATAGGAAAGTATTCCTTGATTTCTGAAAAAGTATTTGATTTCAACCTGCGGAAGGATTCTGGGGGCGCCTGGATGGGTGTCAGAGCTCCTGCTTCTGTTTCAGGCTGGGACATGGGCATGTCATTTAATGGCTGTGTCACATTCGTATTCACATCTAACACCTTGTATATGTATCTGCCACCATTCTTCTCCAGAGGATGCTTTTGTGCTGATCATTTTTGTCAGGGCATTTCACACCGATATCAGGGTCCCCACCAGCTGAACAGACTCTGTGCTCACTGGATACAAGCAGGACACGAGATCATGAAGCAGGCAAGAGCGCTTGCAGCAACCTTGATGGGAAAACTTCCACTGTTGGAATCTGAGATGGATTTAGCCCCCCCAAATCCCCCCGAAGTGGCCCAAAAGCAGCTGCGAGCCCGCAGGCAGCATGGGATGGCGAGAGGAGGAGGCAGCTGGTGCGGCCGGTGGGGCCGGCAAGGAAGGAATGCAAGGGGTTTGATAAGGAAGGAATGGTAGTTATAACCTTTTTGGCTGGGCCAGAGCTGAGCCTGCTTGTGTTTACACACAGGCAAAAAACTTCCTGAGGTGGAAGCGCAGCCTTTTCCGCTGGCTCAGCACCGTCCCTGCTCGGCCACCGCCACTCTCGGCATTTCCCTCAATCTGGAGGTTTTAGAGAAAGCTTTTGTTTTGCCAAAGCTGTTGACTGTAACTTTATTGTCTCTGCTTGGCTGTAGGACATACCCTGAGCTGTGAAATGTGCACCTGACATTTGATTAGATCTCCTCCTTTTGAGTAGTGCTGATTAGATAAAGGACGGCCAAAAAAAACCCCCAAAGCCAACCCCAGCTCCCTATTCTACTCCGCAGGCAAAAAGCCTCCAGGAGACCTTCCCCTGTGCTCTGCGTCAGCCAGAGCTCTTGGGAGAGAAAATAATCTTGTTTTCCTGCATCTGTTCCCCTTGCAGCCGGGCTTGCAGAGGTCAGACTACCCCAAACTGCAGCCAGACTGGCAGCGGTGGTTTCTAGCCGTGTTCAGTAGCCCTCGAGAAGTCCCCAGTGTGCCTCTGTCTGGGAAACAAGCACTAGGAAGGGTCGGGCAGCCCAGAGGGGTCAGTAAATATACCCAGCCCCAAACCTCCTGCTGTCAGTGGAGCTCGAGCGTCCACAAGAAGAGGCACTAAGGGACAGCCGAGCATCACCCTGCAAATTCTTTGAGGCAGGAACCGTTGCTGGTTATTGCCCAGTGCACAGAGTGAGGAATTCTTCATATCTTCATCATCTTCATCGTCATGCACGTACACATGTGTGCACATACACCCACCCCCGCTGTCAGGTCAGGCCCCAGCCCTGCGGATCACTCCTGGAGTCTCGTTTATTTATCCAGGAATTAGCTGGGCATCTTAAACACCAGAAAAACAAACAAACAAGGTTTAATAACGTGCTGCACGTCATTTGTCCTGCAAACACGTTTGTTGAAAGACAGGGAAAATGTGCACAGAACAAGCCACAGCCTTCAGTCACGGGGTTTCTGCTGGGAAACAACCTCTCTGCGAGGCGTTGTCCTCTCATCGCGCTGGCACACGGCGCAGCCAGAGCCACGCGTCCTGGTGGGATAAACACACGGTTGTTCCAAGGACACAACAGAGAAGTTGATTTTTAATACTCGATTATTTTTTTTTTTTTTTAACTGGGATTATTTACAGTGAGATTTGGGAGAAGCAATTCACACCAGAACAAACAAAACCTGGAATATTTTAAACTGTGTTTAAGTGACTCCTGCACCCTTGAAAACAACCCCAGACAGTGACAGCCGTTGCTGCCATTCCTTTAAGCATGGTACCAAAAAAAAAATGCTTCCCCTCAGGTATTCAGCACTGAGAAAAGGTTGCAATAAATTCACTAGTGAGAGGGTAGATCAGCTTCGAGGGCCATTTTTGTCCTTATTTTGGATGTGGAGGTCACTGCTGGTGCCAGCAGAGATTGCGGCATGAGAATGTCTGCTGAGCTGCAGCCTCTCGTGGTCCTGCACCATCAACACCGGGCTTGCACGGCAGCAGCTTTGGCTCCCTAAAAACGAGCTGCACTTGCTCGGTACCGAGCACAAACCTGCCTCAGCGATGGGGCTTGCGGCACCGCTTGCCTCGGGAGCAGGATGGGCGCGAGGCTGGGTAGGACCCGCTCCTGCTCTTGGGGTTTTGGTGTTGGCCTTCCCTTACCAAAGGGAAAATACTTGTTGTTCATGTACCCACTGCCTATGCAGAAGGAGCAACACCCACAGCAGAGCCAGGTTTCCATCTAGCACTGGTCCCACTGGGAGCCCTTTGGCACCTTTTATTCCCGAAGGCCTGCCCTAGGCACTAGCCCCCCGCGGGTGGGGGACTGCCCGCCCCAGGCTCTGCAGAGCTGTCTACGGCCGTATCGAGCGCTCTCCACCTCGCTCAAGTGTTTGATTGCTGGCTCTGCCTCGTCAAACGCCATCTCCAGTCCCTGACATGAAGAGACTGGGGAAGATTTTTACTCTAAAACAACTACCTGCATACTGGTAGGACTGAAAAAGAAATAAGTCTGAGGTCTATTCACATTTCAGCCTTCAATTCCATGTGGAAAGTTTTACACACAGCTTCAGCAAATTCTGCTGGAGTAGGAAATACTAAAGACGACCTAAAGCAGAAGAAGGGGGATTAAATGCCTGATGTTCTTAAAAGAGGGAGAAGTCCTGCACTTGAACATAAAGATGAGATAAAAACCAGCTCTGTTAACCAAAATTATCTGAAACCTCAGAGGTTTTTGTCACTGAAACCCCAATTTAACTATTTTAATCAGCCCAATGCACTGCCACCAAAAATTTGGAGTCTGGCTCAAGGCTTCTGTAGCTTCAGTCTGCCGCTGCTTAAAAGCTGTTCGGGGCTAAGGGCACCTGCATTTCTCATTATGTTCTAACAACAAAAGCAGAGAACAGCTGTGAAAAAGTGTCTTGTGTGGTCAATGGGAGAAGTGGGAGGAGGCAGAGAAGTAGGTCTGCGGCAGCTCTGGCGCTCCATATGCTTTGGGCTGATTTTAAAGTTCTTCACAGAAATAATAATAATAATAATAGTAAAAAAAAAAAAAGGGTCTGCAATTCCCCAGTTGTCCATAGAAAACTCTTGCCCTCCCTTGTCTCTCCGTTCCCCTCCTAGATTGCGGTAAGGACACACTTCTTCACCCGGTTCACATCTCGGTGTCAGCGGGGCTGTGCTGCCTGCCTGAGTGGCCGTTTTTGGAGGACGCTTGGCCGGTCCCGTTCTCCTGAGTCCCACCGTTGAGGTTCGGCTTCTCCTGCAGCTCAGGTTGCTCTTCGGGGGACATCATCAACATCGTGTTTCCCTGGCTACCGTTTTCCGTGTAATACGGGTCTTCAGCCTAAACAGGTACATAAATAACAAAGGCAGAGTTAGGGAAGGGAAAGGGCTGACAGCCACCGGCTTTGATTGCAGCTTGGCTGGCTGCCTGCGCTTCCTGGACAGGAGGTACAAACAACTGCGGGCATGGGAACCTGCTCTCGCTGACAAGAAGGGGAACAGAGGGCCTGAACCGTGCTGTGGCAAGACAAAGCAAGAAAACTAGCCAGGAACTGCATTTTTTTTCCTCCTGGACCTGAAAAGAGAAGCCGTCAGGTTTTATTGTTTTCCATTAACCAGGTTTTGGAGCTGACCCTGCCTTGGGTTTGCAAAGCTACCCTGTGACAGACCTCTGCTTTCCACTTTGGCCAAGTGAGAAGCACCGCGGAATGAAAGCTCTGGAAATCGCCTTTTCCTTTCCCCATCCTTCTTTCTTTCAGCCCGTAAATAGATACGCAGCCAGCAGAAGTGCAGGGCTGCGCTGCAGCAAATGCAAACACGTGCTGTGCACCTCGTTACCGCTGCTGCTATGAGGAGCAGATGCCTCTGGAGGACCCAGAGCAACAGCAAAGCCACCTCCGTCCCTCCACGCTAACGCCCCATGTGTCAGAGCACGGCAGGTCTGACGGCAATGCGGTGGCTGCTGGTGGGCCCGGTCTGTGGGTGGCGATTGCCAGCTGGCAGCAGGTAGCCCCGCTCCTCGTTTGCCCGGTGGCATCCCGCACACACGGCTGGCTGCCGAGCTTCCCACCTGCCCCATCGTTTCACTTGGCCCCTTCGCTCGTCCGTGGCAGCGAGATGGGTGTGCTGGACACGTCTCACCTAGAAACCGGACTGACACCACCACGCATTTACATGGGCAGCGCCCAGCCATGCATTTACATTGCCTTTCACTTGCTGCTGGCATCCAGGAGACAGTACCCGGAGGCAGAGGGCTCAGGAGCCCACGCTGCGATGTCCCTGCCTCGGACACCTGCACTTGAGTTCCCATCGGCGTGCTTTGAGAGCATCCTTTCTGGCAACGAAATAACCTAATGGCTTCCCGGGACAGAACTGCTCACGTGCCCACGAGCAGCGGTGGGGAAAAGCACGGCCCTCCCTTCACAGAGGGCTCATGTCCCCAAAAGTCACTGGTAGGGAAGAGTCCTCAGCGGTCAACCTGCCTGGAAAGGGAAAAATGGAAATAGGAAATTTCTTTCTCTTTCTTTCTTAATATATTTTATTATCATTGCTTGTTAAGTAAGGGGAGAAATAGTAGCCTTTATTGCAGCATTGGTACAAGACAGACACATAACTCAAATGCAATGAATGGAAAGTTAAAATGTGTCAGGTTTAATGACAAATTCATAAGGTTTTGGTGTCTCTGGAGGGGTCTTGCTGGATGAGTTCTTACTGCTGAGCAAAAATAAGTGTTAGACCTAGAAGTACGAGCAAGAAAGGGGTGGTTTTCCCACAGGACAGATCAGCTAAGAGTTAATTTTAGAAGGCGAGAGAGATTTCCCTTCACCCTGTACGGTCTGGCCTCCCTGCTCTTGCCCTTCGCCTTGCCCAGGCTGACCCAGCCCCGGGTCACAACGCCCCACGGGCTGGCTGAGCCGTCCCATCGACCTGGGGACACACGTACAGGCTGAGGGTCCCGCGCCGCAGGGTGCGGAGCAGCCCCCTCCTCTCCCACCCTGGCACCCTCCCCGCTGCTCCGGCGCTGCCTGCACCCTCGGGCTCCTCTCTACCGGCTGCTCTGCCACCTGTAAGCACTAACCAGCCTCTCTCCTGCCGGGCTCCAGCTCCGCCGCTTCATCAGGAAATATCCAGCCAAGCCCAGGAAGGCCAGCATGAGTCCAGATGTGACCAAGGCGATGAGGGTCTTCTGAGAAAAGTCCTGGTGGTTCCTCACGTTCCCCCGTTTAAGGGATTTTATTCCGAGCTGGAAAAAACACCAAAGAGAGCCGGGAGTCTGACAAACAGGAAACATGTGCATCTGCTGAACAGGCACCAGGCTTAAAACAATGCTGCTCTTCACCTCCTTGTGAAACTTCACGTAAACAAAGCCGGGCTTTGCTGCCCAAGCTCCTGAGCTTTGCACTTGCCCTGTGAGCTCTGACATCCTCATGGTCTCATTTCCATCCCGGCATCTGCTGTAGCACAGGGAAATGGTCTCCCTCGGACCAGAGCGCTCAGGCCCTGAGATTTAGAGCGTGCGTCTGCGCAGCTGAAACACCTCTGTGCACTGCTGTGGCAGCGCTGTTGGCTGCCATTTATATAGGCACCTGGAGCTCAGCTTTACAAGCCAATAGCAGCCTCACAGGAGCGTTGGGAGGAGGAATTAATTAATGTCAGCGTGGGTACTTTGAAGACGCAGAGTGCCAATTACATCCTGAGAGTTATTGTTGGGTTCTAGAGCTTTTTTAGGAGAATACTACAGAATTTTACGGTAGCTATTTCAAGTATTTCTGCCCTCAGTGGTTGTATTAGTGCTCTTACAGTGCACCCCTGCCTCGCTGCATGTCTGGTGGTTGGCTCCAACCATCTCTCGTGCCAACGCTCAACGAACGCCTCCGAGACGGAGGCACGTTCAGGTTTCCGCCCTCTGCCCCAGCCTCAACTGATCGTCTACAAAATCTCCTTTCTCCAGCCGCTCAGGCCACCCGTTCTTCTCAGCTGAATTTGCTCAAAGAATTTACCTTTTCCCAGTGAGACTCCTGGAGCATGTCTGTAGCAGGATCTGCAAGGTTTAAAACAGGAGAGGCACGTTATACAGAAGGTCACGCTGCAGCTAATGTCAGCATCAAAAAGCCCGGCCATTGCTGAACACAGAGGAGCCGTGAGCCCCTTTGCAGGTCTGGAGGCAGCGCTGTGGCTCCATGGGTCTAGCTAGACCCCAGAAAAAAGAGCAGTAGTTGCAGAGAGAAGTCTTCTCCCAGGGTTTGTGTCCCCCAGCCTCTCCCCACACACAGCCCCCTCTCCCATGGCCCACATTGAGGTCATTATCCAGCAGTATCCATGTCAGCCAGAGGAACTGGCTCAACTGACCTTTCTCACCGACGAGGATGAGGAGCATGCAGTCACGGTCCACCTCAGATTTAGCAAGTTTAATCTGGCAGGGGGAGGGAACGCGGTGGGTGCTCTGTTCACATATTGCCCTCCATAAGTCCCATCCCTTCACCTCTAAAAAATGTTTCTGCAAAAGTTTCAAAAAAAAGAGCCATTGAACCAACCAAAGCGACTAATCCCCCGTCTCAGCTACGCTGATGATACTACAGGCGGTGCCGTGCGTTCACCCTTTGTGTTTTGGTGGCTTCTCTGTGCTGTGCAAAGCTGAGCAGGAGCAACAAGAAGTGACAAACAGCGCTGGGCTGGGTGTCAGCCCTTCACCTCCCGCTTCACCACAGCTTTGGGCCCCAATACCAACACCTAGAAAATGGAGATGCGTATTTCTTGTTTCTTAACTTAATGACAATAAATTAAACAAGATATTATTAGCAACTCTTGCAAATGGCATTTAAACAAAGCTAAATTTAGGATCTGAATTGCATGGCAAGTCCCTCCAGTTTTTGGACTGAAAGAGCTGCCTGAAGAGCCCTATTGTTTCTGAGTCCCATGCAAGGGCTGGGAAAGGAGGGAAATAACAACGAAGCATTGAGCCTTCCTGTTTAGGAAATGTCTTCAGTGTTTTTGCTAGGTTGCTGATCAAAGCCTAGGCAGAAAAAGACAAATTTCTCACATTTTAGAGCTGAACTGACTCTTGGGTGGAAGAGGAAGAGGAGTGAGGAGCTGCAGCCTTTCCCTTCTGTGGGCCAGTTTCTGTACCAGACAGGATAGGCTTTCTTCTTGGGTCTATTTTCAGCCACAGTCAGGCCTGGAGACAGAGCCCACAGTTGCTAAAAGACGTTATCAGCTTCCCTAACATCCTCCCAGCTGGGGACATCATCTGAGCTGTCGCCGTGCCCACCCCCTTGAGACAGAGACCGGCTCCAGCTGAACCCCCCCATCCTGCCCCTACCCTCCACTCGCTCCCTGGGAGGTACCCACCAGCGTGGGGCTACGGAAGAGGAGAAAACCCTCTTGTCTTGCAGCGCTGTGCAGAGCCAGGCAGCTCAGTGCCTTCCTCCCATTGCCTTAGAATTGCCTCAGTGTTGTGCTCGGATCGCCACATCCTCTTAGCGTACAAAAATGCAGAAACTTATCCATGGGAGAATAACAAACAAATCATTTTCAGCTGTTTCTATAGAGCTTGGCTTGGGGTGAGAAAGGCCAAGATGGAACAAGAGACCCAAGTGTGTATTTTCCCTTCTCTGCTGTGGAAAGAACTCATCGCAGTGTCAGAATTTCCCTTTGCAATTAGCAGCGCTGGGTGCCAGCGTATTGCTCATTTGCTTTGGGAAAGGCCAGCAGGAAAGCGAGACACGGCACGGTCCCTCCTATCTGCTCTCCTCGCAGACACTCTTATCTAGTTCCCAGGTTCAGCGGCTGCTGAGCCTGAGCTGGTTTTTCCCCCTCGATGGTTGTCGAGGTGGAGGTATGGGAGAGGTCTGCTGCGGGGTGAGAGCTCCCAGAAAAACACGGTTGGAAGTGGAGCAGTTTGACTCGTTTCCCATGGAGGGAGGGTTAAGAGTATGTGCAATTAGACACGACTGTGTAGGATATCCTGTATGTTATATATGCATCTGTTTATGTATATACAGGTATGCAATGCATGCGTGATGTGTATAAGCCCTGTGCCCAGGAGGTGCCGTTCCCACTAGATGGCATCTGTGATCAGAATCATGTGCTCCCGGAGGAGTTTCCATGTGAATTCTTGCTAAAGTGCAGTTTCTGTAAACAGGAGCAAGTCTAAACGCCATTTAATCACCAATTTGCAGAGAAGAATTCCCTCATCCTCAGCGGTGGCAGCATGGCTGGCCAGCAGAAGCAGAATTAATCATTGTCATTTTATACCCAGGGCATTGCCAAGTCTGCTGTCGCACAACACCCAGCACCATCTGCCCTCTGTTGCAGGTTGTACCTCCAACGTGAAAGGTTTCTTGCCTCCCACCCACAATAGTGCCTCAGCCGGACCCTCTTCTGCTTTTATAAGTGCTTCATTTTTGGTGCAAAGGCAGTTACAGAGAGCCTGGGATTCCCCTAGCAGTTGGTGCAGATGGGGACACTGATCAGCCACCCGTGTTCCTCCAGATGCCCTAGTTTCTTTCCTAAGGCAGTTGGCAAGACAAAAAAAGGCACTTGCATTCCCAACAGGGAAGAGGAAGAAGAACAAAGGCAATTTCTCATTAAACATGGTGGGAGATACTTTAGAAGCTAAACTATAGAAGCTAAAGTGACCCCAGAGCTCAATCATGAGAAGGTTTCCTGCGACCAGGAGGTTGCATTTTCCCTGGGAGGGCTGCGATCATCCCTTTGGGATCCTCCTGGGACTGCTGTGACCATCCCCATCTCCGTCAGTTTGGCACAGCTCAGGTGCTCTGCCCCAGGCACAACGGTGTGATGCCCCCACCCCAAACTAACCCCCCAGGTATGGTGGGTGACCCCATCGCTGCAAGCCTGAGAGCCCTCGGCTGTTTGCTTGCAGTCCCCCACCTCCTACATGTCCCCCGCTTGGAGACGCGTGGCTGCCCCGGGCTGCGACTCACACAAGTGTTGGACTCGTTGAGCTGCAAGCAGATGGCTTCGGTGTCACTCACTTCTTTGACATTGTAGCATGTGATGGGCTGGAAGGGAAAAGACACAGTGGTGGGATCAGTGAGCTGTCAGAGGGTTGTGAGACAAGTCCAGCCCCCCTGTGGTCCCACAACCCACAGCACCCAGCTGCATCCTCACCTTCGGGTTGTCCCTGACTGTGTGCAGTGGCGTGGTGGCATCTGAGACGGGAGGATGTCCTGAGGTGGCAGGAGATCTCGTCAGAGCCGGTGTGGACCCTGGGGTTTGTGTTGTGTTGCCGGGTTGTGGTGCTGGGCTCTTGGTGGTGGGGACCCCTTGGCTCACGTGGCCTGCGTCTGAGGGGGTGCCCAGCGGCTGCGTGGGGGCTCGGCTGGGCTGCGGGCTCATCGGCTTGCTGCTGAGCCCCGGGGAGGTGGGGGTGACTGCCAGGGACCCGGCTGCAGCTTCAGTTTTGAAGAAATGCAATGAAAAGAATACGTGAGAAAGCTTAAGTCCTCTAAAATCAATGCGTGGCATTGCGATGACTGAAGTACAATATTGATTTGTCATAGCCAGCAGTACCAGAACGTGTTATTGGCTGTATAGGAAACGCGCATTAGACTTGCTTCAGTTACCTAATTGTTACATGCGCTTCATAATCTGTTTACAATGGGCTAATTTCCTGGGCACACGCTGCACCACAGCAAGGAGGCCATTGCCTGACGTCCCCTGCATTGCCCTCGTCTCCCCCTTGACCCAGAGTCTCCAAAAAGATGTACTGATTTCAAACAGCGTAAGGGAAAGGTGCCGTACGTCTGTGCAAGGGTCCCTGCTTCAAAGCCCTTCAGAGACTTGGCCTCTCATCGGAAAGGCCAGCAGACCTCTTACGGGTGCCATTTGCTGAGCAAAGAATAGGTACGTTGAGATAAAAGATTAATGAGCATTTTGTCCCCTGGTCTCTTGGGTGTTTTGAAAAGGATGGGTCTAAGCCGCCTGTGCCGAAGACAGCAGTGTTAAGTTGCCCTAGGTGGGATTTTTTGGACAGGATTAGAGCTTTTGACCGTACTATCAGGCTCTTTTGTGAGAACAGGTGGTACCTGTGCGGTTTCTTAGGGCAAGCCTGTGCCCTTAAGAAGTCTGATTACTAATGCAAACGCTACCAGGAATGGCGGGGGGGAGCGAGAGGAGCCATTACCAGATGGTGCTGGCGTCGGCGTCGACTCGGCGCTGCTGGAGGGTCCATGGGCTCCGGTGGCTGCTGCGCTGCTGGTGCCTTTCGCTTCCGTGGCCGTGGATGTCGGTGGGGGCGCGTCTGTTATGCTCCCAGAAGCGTTGCCTGGGGGCAGAGGAAGGTGTTAGGGGGTGGCATCCCCCCACCCCAGCCCCGAGCCCCTGCCTGCCCCCGAGGGTCCCTCCAGGCAGGGCGGGGAAGGGTCA